TCCCCCGCGACTCTGGCGGCGCGCGAGCAGGCGCGCCTCGCAGCTCCCTCCTCTTGTTCCTCTCCCTCCCTCCCCCCCTTCCCTTTCTCCTCCCTCCCCTGCCCCTCCTCCGCCCCTCTTTCTCCCAGCCCTCCGTCCACTGTCCCCACCTCTCTCGAACCCACTTCCCGTTCCCAGGAACCTGCCGGTTTCTGGGATGGCTTTGCCGAGGAGCTCTTGCACCCCAGCGCAATCCTGGCCAGGGGAGGGGGCGCAGAACCCTGCCCCACCCAGGCCAGTTGCCCCCAGCTCGGCCTTCTGGTCCTCGCGCTCCCCCGCCCTGTTATCCTCGCTGCGGCTGAAAAGCTCAGTACCCGGGAGTGGGTGGGGTTCCCGGAAATCTCTACTCTCTCCCCCTCCCCACCGTTTAGGCCAGGCTCAAACCGTGAGACACCCGTTTCGAAATAAGAATAAAACGTGGGTTTTGATCACTGCAGCACTCCCCGCCCGTTCTGTTGCCATTCCACCCCTGCGGGCATTGTAGGGTGGAGGGCGGGACGGGGAATGGAGACTTGGGCCCATCTCGACTGCGGACCTGGAGGTGCTTAGGGACTTGAGACCCGACGCAGACACTCCTCCAAGACAGAAGCACCTTCCGCCACACAGATCCCCAGGAATGAACTCACACAAACTCACACAGCCAGACCACGCCCACACACACACACTCACACACAGCTGCACATGCAGCCGCGGGCAGACAGGTACACACCAACCGCACGACCCCCACAGGAACAGTCTAACTAACACACAGGGACCCCAGCCCAGGGCTCTCCACGCTGGAATCCGAGGACTCTGCAGCCGTCGAGTGGGGTTCCAGGCAGGAGAGTGTTCCCTAAGTGGAATCCAGGGCTCCTGGGATCCAATCAAGGATGAGAAACTTCTTGGACAGCCCTGGGCTGATGCACCAGGACTGGGTGGGTGGGCGTTGGCACAAATTCTCACACTCACAAACCGCCTTGAGATGCAAACACAAACACGGACACACCGGCAACTGCTCCCCGGCCTCTCAGGGGACAGGGCCCAGCTGGCTGACGGACAGCCACATCGAGCATTTGCAGAGCTCAGCGCAGAGCATGGGCCCAACGTCTTCCTCTGACCGATTCAGCTCCCTACTTCTCAAAGCCTGGACGGGGCGAGATGCTGGTCGGAAGGGAAGGGAAGGGAAGCCCAGTCCAGACTCCGCGCTCTGGGGCGGGTTTGGGGCGCGTCCTCAAAGGGCGGGGCCCTGAGTACCCAGCCCCTACAGTCCTTAGGCTACCCTGGGGCGCTGCGCCCTGTCTGGAAAGGAGGGGCTGTCGCGGCTGAGGGGCATGTGGGCTCTAGGGTGTCCGTGGGTGAGAGCCCCCGTTGGGATTGCTTCCTCAGGGTCCCCTTTTCCAGATAGCAAAAGAGCCACCGACTTGCCGCGTGCCTGCCTGGCTCTGACCTGGACCCGGGCTTGGAGACCCAGCTCACCTCCCCTTTGCCCCCGCAAGCCCGGCCGCCCACCGCCACCAGTAAAGAGACCCGGCTTCCTCGGACAGACACGGTTTATTGATTTGGGTCAGAGGCACCACGGTGCAGCGGGCCAAGTTTGGCACCGGGAGGAACGAAAGGAAGGACAGACAGATGCAGGTCAGACGCACGGCTGTACATGGGGTAGCGGCCGGGGCCTGCGCGCCTTTCCGCCTCTGCAGTAGCGCAATCACTTCTTGGGCCTTGTTGCTCCACTCCCCACTGAACAGGAGAGGACAGACACGGGGTGGGCCACGGAGAAGGGATTCGGGCGGGGAAAGTACAGACTGGGAAGGGGCCGGGGTACTCGGGTACTCGCTAGAGGAAGAGGGCCTGAGTCGAGCTGGCCGGTGCGCTTGCAGAGCATCCACCTGGACCCATGGGGTGGGGAGCGTTGGAGGAGCGGGCCGCTAGCTGCGGGTGTGGTAGTAGTAATCGTAGTCGTCCTCGCACCCTTCAAAGGGGCCTGGTGGGCTTTGAGGCTCCCAGTCCGGGCCAGACGCCGGCCGCTCGCGCAGGCGCACAGCGTCGTACAGGCCCTGCGGCGG